CACTAGATTTCTGAGGCTGGCTTTGAACTTACAATCTTCCTGTCTTGGCCTCCTGAGTCACTGGGATTATAGGTATGTGCCACTGTGCCTGTCTATACTCATTTATTTCTTCTATTGTCTCTGTAATTTCTTTCCTTCTGCTTAATATTGGGTTTAATTTGTTCTTGACTTTCTACTTCCTTAAGTTACATCATTAGGTTGTTCATTTGAACTCTTTCTTTTTTTTATTTGGGTAATTATTGATATACACTTTGATCTTAGTCATACTTTTCTATATTATGTAGGTTTTGGAGTTCCAAACCCATTTTCATTTGTTTCAAGAAAATTTAAAATTTCCCTTTCAATTTCTTCATTGACTCCTTGGGCATTCAAGATTGCCTCATTCGATTTCTATGTACTTGTACAATTTGTAAAGTTCTTGTTGATTTCTAGTTTTATTTCATTCTTATCAGAAAAGATATGGGATATGATTTCAGGTTTTACAAATTTGTTGTAAAAAAAACCTATATATTAGGCAACAAGTTTTGTGGCCTAACATATTGTCTACCTTGGAGAACATCCCATTGACTGATGAAAAGAATATGTATTCCACAGCTGTTAGGTAAAAATGTTCTGTAAATGGCTGTTAGGTCTATTTGGTGTACAGTATAGTTCAGTTTTTATGCTTCTTTGTTGATTTTTTTTTTGTATGGATGATCTGTCCATTGATGAAAGTGGGGAGTTGAGATATCCCCTATTATTATTATTATTGTTGTTATTATTATTATTATTATATTAAAGACTATCTCTCCCTTTAGATCTAAGAATGTTTGCTTTATATAATTGGTGCTCTGGCTTTATATAATTGGGTGCATATATATTTATAATTATTATTTCCTCTGGTTAAATTGATTCCCTTTCTGACCTTCTTTGTCTATCAATTTAGTCTTTTTTTTCCTATCAATTCAGTCTAAATACTTAATTGGGAGATTTAATTCATTTACATTCAAGATTATTATTGATAAGTAAAGATATATGCCTGTCATTGTTATTTTCTCATTGTTTTGCATTTCCTTCCTTTCTTCCTTATTTCTTTCTCTCTTATTCATCTTTGTGAATTTAGTATTCTGTATTGTTAATGCTTGATTCTGTTCTTTTTCTTTTTTTTCCCTGCATCTGCTCTACTATGGAGTTTTATACTTTCGCATATTTTTATGATGGTAGTTATCATTTCTTACCCCTACTGTAGGGCTTCCTTAGTATTTTTGTAAAGTCAGTCTGGTGATAATAAATTTCCTCAATTTTTTTCTTAGATTTGATTTCTTTTTCATTTCTGAAGGGTAAATTTTCTGGATATAACATTATTGGTTGGTAATTCTTTGCTTCCAGGACATTGCATATATTACCCTAGTCTCTCCTTGGTTCGTAAGGTTTCTAGAGAGAAGTCTGCTATTGGTTTAGTAGGAATTCCCTTATATGTCATTTGACACTTCTCTCCTACTGTTTTTGGACTTTTAACAGTTTGACTTTAATATGCCTCACAGAGGGGCTTTTCTGGCCAAATCTATTTGAGGTCCTTTGAACTTTCTAGACCTAGATATTCATATCTTTCTGAAGATTTGTATGTTTTCAGCTATTATTTTATTGAATGGGATTTCTATGCCTTTTTCCCCTCTTTTCTCCTTCAGGTATATCAATAATGAATGGTAACATTTGTTTGATTCGTGGTGTGGCTTTCTTTGTTTTTTTTTTTTTTTTTTCAGGTGTCTGTGGCATTATTGGGTCTTCTATGGATCTTCTGCTTACTTTATTCTGTGTGAAATCTCTCTTGATTCAGGGTTGGTCTTGACTGGAAATATGGAATAGTAGATGATGTGTGCTTCGTTACCATCTTTATAAGAACACCTTGAGTCTCCTTTCTGTGCAGAATTCTGCCACATCCCAACATTTTGTCTCAAACACTTCAATAGGAGTTGGAGTTGTTGTCTTTTGCACATTTTGGTCTTTTTATTGTGTAGGAAATCTTGCTGGGCACCTCTAGTCAGCCATTATGCTGGCATATTATCTAAGTTTTTACTCTTAATTTCCATATTTATGATTTTGTGGGCCATAATGCTGCTATAAGAATATACCTAACTGGAATTCCTGGGCCATTCATTTACTTTCTTTCTTTCTTTTTTTTGCAGAAATTTTCATTTTCTCAAAATCATTTTGATATTCTAGTTCAAATTACTTAGAAGGAGGTTTGTTTGCCAGCTCTTTGTGGTTTTCACTGTGTCTATTTTTAATTCTTGCTATGAAGGAAATTTTAGCCTAATCCTACTGATTTTGGGTGACATAATTTTGATCCTGTAGAAAGTGACTGCAAATAAGAGTGAGCTGCTGCTTAAGAGCTGATTTAAAACCAACCTAACAAATATAAATGGGAGAAAACCATAGTCGGAGAAAGGGCTAGAAGGAGTGAATTTATTAAGAGATATATTATACAACAAGTCTACATTTTCTACAAAAATAGTAGAGAGATCTAAAACGAGTAAATAGAGGGACTGAAATGGAACAAGATTAAATTCCATTCATGTTTGATTACATCAAAATGAACCCAGCTATTATGTATAACTATAATGGACTAATAAAAGCATAAAAAGAGAGTAAGTGGAGAGAAAAAAGCATTGAAAATTGTGAAGTTTTGTAGACCTCTAAGATTACAGTTGAAATAGAGTATACATTACTTCTCATGTTAGCAGCCCCTTTTGTGTAGGCAGCCTTGAAATGCTTTGGGGAATGTTTTTAGAATGTAAGCTAAAATGGGATTGCTCTTTTAATTTATCAGCAGATTCCTTTATATCAGTGTTTTTCAACCTCTTTTCTTTGTAATTCCCACGCCTCAACCAAGAGCTCTTTGAACATCTTTTCCCTGTTGACCCATCCCTCTCCATGAAATTTTAATAACAAATAATAATAATAATGATAAATAATAAATTTTGATTTATTTCTTCATGTGCAATGTATCTGTTTATGTATTGTGGCCTTTGGAGGGCTAAACATTATTTTAATTGTCAAAATTCACCTGCTTGGAGTGGTGGCACTCCCATTGAGGAATGTATAAATACAAATATGTCTCTTGTTAGTAGAGTGCAAATATTTTAAAAGCAATGTTTATTTAGTCATGAATCAAGGAAGTGGAGAGATAAGAAGACAATTCAGTATTACAGTATCCTATTAGAGGTATGCTTGAATTAGCAAAAAATAATCTTAATGTTTAGATTACTGCATCTGTTTGATGATATCCTTGTGGAAGAAATACAGAAATAGATTTAGAATACAAATTACTGACTTGATGCCAATCTCATGGGTAATTTTTAGTGACATATCATAAACCTCAGAGTTCACTCCTGTCTATTTTAGACTATTATTAGTGAACTTGAGAAAACTCAGATTTACAAATGTTTTGATGATGGGAGGAAGATGAATAAGCTTTTGTAGACTTCCTCAATCTCCAAATAAATTTTGACAAGCTAAAGTATAGACAGAAGTAAAATATTCCAGTTGAGTCTAAAAAGCCAGTTGTAGACAAATAGCATGGAGAAATGGGTAATAGCATATCAAGTACAAAAGAATCTTAGGGATTGTAAGTTATTTATTAACCTTAGTGTATTTTTAGGAAGCTATGAACATCTTAACTTCCCTAAAGAGTTTGTCTAGAATCTGGATTGTATGCTGATCAAATCACAACCCGAAATAATTATATAAGGACCATATTTATGGTCATACGAAATAAATTTAATGAGTAAATTTAGTAAGTCTGCTAAAATATAACATTTTGTAGCTACAGTGTAACTATTTTGTGGATACTGGTTCATGAATTTAGTAAGTGGATGTAGAATGTCTTGATTTTCTTTGGAAAGAAATGGATTTCTCTTTATTGAAAAGAAAGTGATTACTCTTCTTCAAGGTGTGGACAAGGAGATGGTGATAATGATTGACAATTTTTTGAATAATTTTGAGTATACTAGCTAAAATAAGAGTTAGCATATTATAGCCTACTGACAAAATTCTGCCAGCAGCCTGTTTTTACATGATCCTGGAGCTAAGAATTAAAAAAAAAAAAAAAAAAAAAAACTTATAAAGTATAAAAGAAACACAAAAACAAAGAAAATGCCATAGAGACCTTATATGGCTTGCAAAGTCTGAAATATTTTTATGTTCCTTTTAGTTTTTTCAAATCCTGATAAAATATTGGACCAATGATAGAATAGGTAACACTTAAAGACTTTTTCTAACCAAAAGATTTAAAACCAAGGACAAGAAACAAATGTTTCAATGTATAGAAATAATGATTATATTATAAATTAAATAGTCTGATATTCGAGTAAGGTCCCAAACTAGAAAATAGCAAGTAAAATGAATTAAGCAAAAGGTTGAGACTTATTTATTAACTCAATAAACCTCAAAGAAATTTAGGATTAATAGTAGGTGGCAATTGTAACCTACTAAATTAAAGTCTCCTTGAGTGTAGTAACAACTATCTTTGAAAGGGAATCAGCCAGAAAGCCTCTTACGAAGAAAGGAAGGATAAAACTAGTCTGGGGCTAAGAAGTTACCATTGATAGCCTAAAAAGGAGACAAACCGGCAAGCAGCCATTACTTATCTGCATATTAGAAGGGGTGTGTATTATTTTTATAAATTCACTCTTTTGTACTTAATCTAACCCCAAATACAACAAGATTTTTAAAGTGCTTTTCACAAAAATGCCTTGTTAAGAAATAGCTCCACCCCTTGACACTGGTTTTAAGATGATGGATGATAAGACTTTGCAGAGGGTGGGGAGGGGAAGAAAAGTTTGATGATATTCAATTTTTCTTTTGTATTTAGTGATTGGATGTAATATTGGATTTATATTTTACTTTAAAGTTATTTTAAGTTATTTGAGATAGCTATAATTAAGGAGACTAAAATTTGTCTTTACACATATTTGTTCATTTATTTCTGTTTGGTAACCAAATGAATTTTTTTTTTCCAGATGATTCTTTGGGATTGGGACTTGAAGCAGTGGTATAAGCCTCATTACCAGGTAAATATGAGTGATCCCCTAATAACTGCTATCTGTAATGAAACTTTTGACTTTTAAAATGAAGTTACATTCACGAGATTTCTGTGCCATAAAATTTTCTTTAACTGAAGTAAACTGGCAAAAGCCTTCACTGAGGTGAATTAAAAAACAAAAACAACAACCCCAAACAGGAAAAACACAAGAAAAAAAGGAAACACGAAATCAAACTTACATAAATATTTTTAAAATGTTGCTAATATAACCTGGGCTCAGAATAATTTAATATTTCTATATTCAGGATGAGATTATTTTTCTTTTCTGATGTGGTGTTCTGATCTAAAGAACAAAAGCAGAGTTAAGGTCATATATGAGATGAAGCAAAAGAAATCGCAGAATATCTTATTAGGAAAGTAAAAACACCTTTCATATTTTGGTAAACATTTTATTGAATTATACATACAGAAAAGTGTACAGCTCAGTGAATGTCCACAAGCTGTACATCCCATCTAAATAGTACCTATTTGAAGAAATGGAGAATTATGGTATCCCAAAACCCTCACTTATGCCCCAAAAGCCCCCTTATACTTTTATTCTCGTTAGCTTCCCCCAAGCATTATAGCAATCCTGATTTCTGCCTTTACAGCTTAGTCTTTCCTGTCTTTGAATTTTATGTAAATGGAAGTGGTTGCATGTATTCTTTATTTTTATTTTTTTTTTGGTATTGGGGATTGAACTCAGGGGCACTCAACCACTGAACCACATCCCCAGCCCTATTTTGTATTTTATTTAGAGACAGGGTCTCACTGAGTTGCTTAGCACCTCATCATTGCTGAGGCTGACTTTGAACTCGATATCTTCCTGCCTCAGCATCCCAAGCCTCTGGTTGCATGTATTTGTTCTACTTCTTTCTTTTCAGAAAAAAAAAAAAAAATCTGTGAGATTAATTAATGTTATTGCGTGAAGAAGCAATCTATTCATATATATTCTATATAGCATGTCATTGAATGAATATATTACAATTATTTATTTGTTGTGTAGGTAGGCAGACATTTGTTTTATTTTCAGATTTTTCTCTTGTAAGTAATGATTCTGAGATACTCTCAATACTCTTTTGGTTGGCTATCTATTTTGGAGTTGATTGCTAGCTCAAGACTTTTGTCCAGTTTTCTTTTACTTTATTCTGGACCGAGTGTATATGTGTATACATATATACATATACATACATACATATATATATACATATATATGTAATCTGTGTTGATTAAAGATTTCTTCAGGTCTGTGGCCTTTTTATGGTATCTTTTGATAAAGATATTCCATCTTTTAATAGAGAGCTAATTTGTTAGGCATTTCCTTTTTGGTTTGTGATTCTTATGTTGTTCCTTCTCCCCCTCCTCCTCTTTCACCTCCCCTCTCCCTGCTTTCCTCCCCCTACCTTCCTTCTTTCTCCCTTCTTGTTTTGTAAGAGCTGGAATCTCTAAGTTGCCTGGGCTGGCCTCTAATGCCTAGACTCAAGTGCTTCCTCCTTGCTCAGCTTTCCAAGTAGCTTGGGACTATAAGTTCACTTCACTGTTCCTTGCTTGTTCGGTGTTCTATTTAAGATCTCTGCTCCCAAGGTCATGAAGTTTTTCTTCTGTGTTACCTTCTAGAAATTTTCTTGTTTTACTTTTCATCTTTAGATCTGTAATGCAGTTGGAATTAATTTTTCAGTTAAGTTTGTTGGTATTTTTATAGTGTGATAGGTAGCTAATGATAGTCGTCCCCCCGCCCCCCATCCATGGTTATCCAGTTGATTCAATTCTGATTTTGGAAGCTCTTTTTTACTTTCAAAATAGAGATCTTTTGAGAAATTCTACTGGGTTTGGTTTCTCCATCTCTTAGCCCCTCTGCTTATAACTTTGCAAATTCCCTCAGGGGAAAAGCAGTTAGGAATTTAAGCTTACTTCTTTTTTTTCATTAGTCTGGATCTTGCTTAGCCTTTCAGGTTGTCCCTGCCTTGATCCTGTGAACTCCAAATTTGTTTTCCTAGCCCCTTGAGACTACTGAGAGCTCTACTCTGTTTCCTAGCTTCTTGACTGCTTTGCTTCTCAGCCTGTCTGCCCTGTGCCAATTCCTTGAGGGAAAAAGTAATACAGAATGTTGGGTTCACTTTTTAAAAAAAAATTTTTTTAAATTATTTATTGGTATGTGGTACTGAGGATTGAACCCAGTGCCTCACACATGCCAGGTGAGTGCTCTGCCATTGAGTCACGACCCCAGCCCAGGGTTCACTTTTATCTTAGCTCTGGTTCTAGACTTTTTAAACCCTGATGCTTGATTGTGCTATGTTACCTTGAAATGTTTGCTATTAGTATTTTATTTCAGCTTTCTAGTCAAAATTTTTTTTTCTATGAAGGATAAAAGAGCAGGTATTTTAACATTAAGGCAAGGCATGGCCACTGCCACCACTGAAACTGTTCCTCTTCCTTTTTCCCTCTTTTGTTCCTTTCTGCTCCTCCTCTTTGCTCCTTCTTTAATAACCATTTAAAATGTAAAAACTATGCTTAGCTTTCTGTCCAAAATCAAGATTTTGTCAAATATAAGTCAATGAGAAATAGGAATTTAAGTTCAACTTTTAAAATTATATTAAATAATTCAAATATTTAGTTTGATATGTCTGTTATGTGCATTTCTCTTATTTCACCTACAATAAAAGTGAAAATCCTTGTCACAGACTTAAAAGAACTCACACAAAATGTCCCTTTCTTTATTTCTTTTTGCCCCTTCCACTGATCTTCTATTACTTTTTCCTTCATTTACTCTGTTCCAGCTGTACTGGCCTCTGTGTTGTTTCTCAACAAAGCCAGGCAGGATTCTGTTTCTGGATCTTCACACTTGCTAGCCGGTCTGTGTACAATGCTTGTTTTCCTATCTCATCAGGTCTTGACATAAATTCAAAGTGAGGCATCCCCTGACTACACTCTCTAAAATTGCATTGCCTTTCCATCACTTCCTTTTTCCTGCATTTTTCTTTTTAGCCTGCTCAAAACCTGTATGACCCTTCATTACTTAGCTTGGAGTCTAGTGGTCTCAAAAATTTGTGCCTTTGTACACTTATTTTTTTATTGTTATTTTATGTAGCCTGTTCTTCAGCAATTTCATATTGCCTATATTTCCACTTTTGTACCTTTATTTATGTGCCTTTCCTTCTTATGTAATGAGCTTACCCAATACATTTTTCTTCAGTTTTACTGTAAAAAATTACTTTCCCCTAATATTTATAAACAAAATCCTACCACAGTTTTAGGGCTCAGCTGAAAGACTACCCCTTCCATAAAATTTCTCATAATCATTCAGCTTAAACTTTTCTCTTATGAACTTTCACACCATTTTTTGGAAATTTTATCTTATGTTTACCATAATGTTAATAGTAGTAATACTATTTATTGTTACACTTCAAATACATTAGTAAATGCCTTATGTGCTTGACATGTTTATCATATTTAATTCTCACATCAGCCCTTAAGAGTAAATGCTTTTACCTCCATTTTGCATTGAAGAAACTAAATAATGTTCAGATGTTAAATAATTTGTTCAAGGTCACACAGGATTGAAGTCTAGATTTCAAACTCTGGAAGCTTTGCAATAAAGCTATGCCTACGCTAAATGGCTTCTTAAGTGAATAAGGTAAATGAAAGAAATGATTTATATGTTCAAAATAAATTTTGGTAAAAAAGAAAGAAAATTGTTCATAAATTAATGAAATGTATAAATTATAAACAAAGTAAATATATATTTAGTTCTATACTAATTATAAAGTAAATCAGTAGTAATGCATTCCATTAAAATGAGGTAAGCTCATGAAAAATAAAAAATTAAAGCTTATAGTGTCTGTAGTATTGTAGCATATATCAAAAAATTTAAATTAGAATCATACCACTTATTATATACCATTTATGTCATTCAAATGAATGAAAGTATATATTTAATAGGATTAAATTACTTATGCATTATGAAATAGACATTGATTTAGAGTAGAGTTAGTTTTCTTAAATGTTAAGTTTTTTTGTGTAAAAAATACATAATTTTACTCTTTTCTTTTCTAGAATTCTGGAGGTGGAAATGGAGTTGATCTTTCAGTGCTAAATGAGGCTCGCAATATGGTGTCAGATCTTCTGAGTGACCCAAGCCTTCCTCCACAAGTCATTTCTTCCCTACGAAGTATCAGTAGCTTGATGGGTGCATTTTCTGGGTCTTGTAGGCCAAAGATTAATCCTCTCACACCATTTCCTGGATTTTACCCCTGCTCTGAAATAGAGGACCCAACTGAGAAAGGAGATCGAAAACTTCACAAGGTTAAAATACAATTTTAATCCTATTGATAACATTGAATGATATTTTCACATTAAAATTTCTTCTTTTTTGGGAGGGGAGGGGGATTGAACTCAGGGGCACTCAACCACTGAGCCATATACCCAGCCTTATTTTGTGTTTTATTTAGAGACAGGGTCTCACTGAGGTGCTTAGTGCCTCTCTATTGCTGAGAGAAGCTTTGAACTCCTAATTCTCCTGTCTCAGCCTCCCAACCCACTGGGATTATAGGTGCATGCCATTGCACCTGGCTAAAACTGCTTCTTTTAAAGTTATATTATATACAATTTCCTTTTGAAGGATCAACCTTTTTTACCTTTTATTGACCAGCTTGGGACTTTATATGAAGTTTTATAAACTCAAATAATTCTAGATGAATATTTAGGTTTTTTTAAATAATATTGGTACAATTAGGAGATAGAGCTTGTATGTATATTATTATTGCTATTGTTGTTAAGAAGTATGAACAATAAACATTTATTTCTGGGCTTGTATAACAAACTCATATTAATCTGTTGTACTCTTTAGAATCCAGAAATTGTTCTTTTGAACCCCAAACCATAAATGATCATTCCAATATTCATTTTATGAATTACACAGTGTTACTTAAAAATAATTTTCATGAATGCTGTTTCTCCCTCACCCATTTAACCCACTGGAGATTGCTATAAACCAAGAGGTACTGATTTTTCCATTATTAGATACGGAATTAATTTCTGTTTATCAGTACTACAAAATAGGATTTCCTTTAAGAAATAATATTACTATTCTAAATAGGTATATGTTATGCTTTTTCAGAGTGCTTTTATTTGTTTTATTTGATTATTATCGGGATCTTTACCATTATCTAAAACCATAAAATTAGAAACATTTAGGGATTATCTTAGTTCAGCTAATTTACCCTATAAGTAAGAAAACTCAGAGAGGATAAAATTAAAATTTGTTAATTTGTCAATTCTAGTAGTGGAATAGAACTTAGAAAAAGGTAAACACAGTTTTTGGAGCAATTTTGATCAGATAATTTCACTTTGTTCAGATCTCAGCATTAGAGTTTAGAAATGCTGAAAAGCTTAGTGAGCAGAATTAGAGCGAAAGGATTTGAAAATTATTGATTACTCTCTGGATCATGAGTAGTTATGTGATTCTTTTATTTACTTATTTATTTATTTAGGTACCAGAGATTGAATCCAGGAGCTGTTAACCACTGTGCCACATTCCCAGCCTTTTTTTTTTTAATATTTATTTTTTAGTTGTACACAGTACCTTTATTTTGTTTATTTATTGTTATGTGGTGCTGAGGTTCAAACACAGGGCCTTGCACATGCTAGGCAAGTGCTCTAATGCTGAGCCACAACCCAACCCCAACAGCCCTTCTTAAAATTTTTTATTTTGAGACAGGGTCTCGCTAAGTTGCTTAGGGCCTCACAGAGTTACTGAGACTGGCTTTGAACTTGCGATCCTCTTTCCTCAGCCTCTGAAGCTGCTAGGATTATAGGCGTGCACCACAGTTCCCAGCTGATTCTTTTATTTCTTTTTTTAAAGAGAGAGAGAGAGAGAGAGTTTTTAATATTTATTTTTTTTCAGTTCTCGGCAGACACAACATCTTTGTTTGTATGTGGCGCTGAGGATCGAACCCGGGCCGGACACATGCCAGGCGAGCGCGCTACCGCTTGAGCCACATCCCCAGTCCCTGATTCTTTTATTTCTAAAGTTCATATAGTCGTGCCTGCAGAACTCTCTTAACAGTGGAACTTAATTATGTAACTTTATTTATTTATTTAGCATTCTACCTCATAAGAAAAAGGTTAATCACAACATTTAAAAGGGATAGAGTCAATCAATAAAATAATTCATTAATGTATTCTTGAGTTAGTCTTCACATATGTGTTGCTTGTTCTTTGCATTTTCTATTGAAATTTATTGCTCCTGATAGTACTTTTAAAAAATAATAATTTTTTAAAACCTTAATCATAAAAATTATAAGGCTGAGGTTTGTGACTCAGTGGTAGAGTGTCTGCCTACAATGTGTGAGGCATGGGGTTTGATTCTCAGCACCACTAAGTAAATAAGTAAGTAAATAAATAAATAAATAGATAAATAAAGGGGTGGTGTCCATCTACAACTAAGAAATAAATAAATAGAGGCTGTGAACATTTAAAGTAAAAAAATATAGCAAACTAATAAAAATTTTTTTAAAAAAATCATAGCAGTATTATGTTTGTTACTATGTTTTCTATGTAGAAAAGTTTATTGGTTTACTGGAAACATTTTAAACATAACAATTATACAGGGTATAAATGCCCTTTGTACTGAAAATCTAAAAGTTTTGGGCTTTAGGACTGGACATCTCTGATTCTAAACTTCTCCTCTGAAGTTGATTTTTCAGGTCAATCTTCCATATCCACTTTTAAATTTCCAATTTCCATTTTTTTTTTCTTTAAGAGTGAAATGTGCAAATGGAAAAAAATCTAGTTTAAATTGCAAGGAGTTCAGGAATTTTATTTTTATTTATTTATTTATTTATTTTTTTAGTGGGAGGAAGAAAAATAGACCAACAGTATAGAATGTGAAATTTGGATAGATTTTTCAGAATGAAATTTTTACTTTCTCCTATACGTGTTAAAAATATACTTTTGTGTTGATATTTTTACGTGCCATCATTTTTTCCACATGCAGCATGTAAAAGCATGACATGTTTAACAATTATTAAATTATTTAACAGGGTCTAAGTAGTAGGAATAGCTTACCAACTCCACAGCTGAGAAGGAGCTCAGGAACTTCAGGATTGCTACCTATTGAGCAGTCTTCAAGGTGGGAACGCAGTAATGGCAAAAGACCTCACCAAGAATTTGGCATTTCAAGGTAAAATCCTCAGAATCTTTTAAAGAAACTTAAAGCATATACTTTGTTTTTGAAAATAAAGTTTGAAATATTTTTAAAAGCAGAAAGGAATGGTTGAAGCATTTTAGGTGTAGGATAACATAGGCTATAATCATAGGTATAGTCAAGAAACCAGTTCTTACAAAGAAGCTGACAAGCCCTCTCTCAAAACATAAGATAGGTCAGATACAAAGCATGCTGGAGCCTTAAGAACATGGGTCAGTGATTTATTTTAGGAAAACTAGGGTCAATTTAGGACAGGGTACTAGGACAGCTTTTAAATGGGTGAAGATGGCCGTTAGAGGGGCAGACAGCAATCCAGTGTATAGTATGCAAAGTTAGACCAACAGAGGTACTGGTTTGTGAAAGGATGATCATGTTCCCCAGGCTCATCACAGTTGCTAGGTTAATATAGCAAGACTCTTTGAACCCTGTTTCTGTTGGTGGCTGTGAGTACTAATATGTTCTGTAGTCTGTTGAGAATTTACTTGTGATAAAACAGCGCTAATCCTATAAAGTAAAGGTTTCAGTGACTACAACTAAATGAGGCTGGAAAAATTGCAGGAATTAAAATCTTTTGAATGTAAATGTCATTTACTTTCATAACAAAGAATTCAATATTTTTCTGAAAGCCAGGAAAAGTATTGATCTCTTGCATGGACTAAAACTTCTCTTTAGTCAGTTAACTATGCTAATAAAATTGAAATTTCTATAAATGCAGTGTTACACCACTCTGTTACTTTGGGTCATGTGTTGTACTTTAGTTTGAGCTGTATAGTTTCACATTTGAAACAGTAGATGGCAGGATTGGAGCATAGCAATTTTTTCTGTTAAAATTTATTTAAGATTTGTATGTGAAATATAATTAGATAATTATAATTTTCCAGATACTTCAGTGGTTATTAATTTGAATCTTTTACAATACATTCAAATAGGTGAACTTAGTTTTTATAAAAGAAAAATCAAGCAAAATTATGTGTAAAAGAGGAATGGTTTGAAATATGAAGAATATAGTACAGGAAAATGAGCATTGATATAGATTTTTGCCTATAGCCTAAACATGACAGTCTTTTTATTTTTTAAATAGAAGTAGGACAGTGAAGGAGTGAACTGAAAATATAACAGGTTTCTTTTTTTAAGCCATAGGAAGCATTATCTTGAGAATATTTTGGGGATTAAAAAGGGAAGTGGAGGTGCTCTAGCTGTAGCTCAGTGGTAGAGCGCCTGCCTGCCTTGCCTGTGTGAAGCACTGGGTTCAATCCTCAGCACGACATAAAAATAAATAAATAAAGATATTATGTCCATCTACAACTAAAAAAAAATTTAAAAAAAAAAGTTTTTTTAACTACATTGAGGTAAGAACATTTTTATCCTGCTGCCTGAGATGATCAGTACTAAAACAACAACAACAAACATGGTCCAGAGAAAACTAATCTTTAACCCTGAAAAGTGTTCATATAGGGTAAATGTAGGTAGATTCTATATATTCACTTAACTGTCATTAAAACAAAATTATATGCCTCATGAAATATTTAAAAATGTGAAGAATAAAGTGATAAAGACCTCACTGGACAAGGCTTATATACATCTACTTTAAAGAAAAATTAGAGCTTCTTGGTAATACATTTTGAAGTGTACTTTGACCACGGGAATATATGAAGCATTGTCCTTTGTTTAAAAACACCATTTGAAAATTAAGTTGAGTCAGGTGTGGTGGCGTATACCTATAATCCTAGCAATTTGGGAGGCTGAGGCAGGAGGACTGATGCCGCAGTCTGGCTGAGCACAAAATAACCAAGCCCCCACGAGGCACTTGTAGGTTCAAACAGGAACTCCTTTGTTGCCCAAACTCCACCAGCACCCCATGCGCACTTCCGGGGAACTCTTTCACCCTCCACCGGGCTCAACGGGCTCAATGGGAACTCCAGGAGAACTCCAAAATAGCGGGCACCGAGGCAGCAGGAGCTGCCCTATTGTCAGACAGCAGGGTCCATATACAACTCAATACACAGCCTGTTTCAATCCAGCATCATCCAGTACAGCAATTATACTCAGCTTAATTTAATTATCACCATCTTAATGGCTCGCTGGGTTCACCTCTCAACCATTACTTCTGGCAAAATGCCAGGGGCCATTCCGACTCTCAATAGACTGAAAGTTCAAAGGTAGCTTCAGCAACTTAGTGAGGCCCTAAGCAATTTAACAAGACCCCTCCTCAAAATAAAATAATTAAAAAGGGTTTGAGATGTGGCTTCAGTGTTTGAGTACTCCTGGGTTCAGTCCTCGGTACAAAAAAATTAAAATTAAGCTGAAGTATATGTCAAGAAAATTGAAGTAAATAAAATATTTGGGTAAAGAGTGATACCTTAGTGGTATAAAGAACAGCATAGAATTTAATTTTGCTCTACCTCAAGCTTTGCTTGGGAAAAAAAAAAAAAAAAAAGTGAAGTACTATAACCCAGGGAGCTGTGCATAGCTTTGATAAAAAGAATCTGAGGGAGATAACTAGAGAAAGAAGGATCGTTCCATTTAATCAATCACTCTATTAAATTAAATTAATAGAGTTTATTATTGGTCATCTCTTAGTGGACTTGTGATTTTACTATTTAAGGAGTCCATTCATTTACAACACTAAACTATCTTTCTAACATCATTTTTCTCTATTTTATTTGAAACCCTAGTTAAGCTTTTAACTATTTGATGTTCTCTTTGTCTATTTCTGTGCCCCTTTTTAATATAAAAGAAATTTAACTGAAATAGCACTTCTTACCCTTATTTCTGTACATCTTTAATTGGGCTAAGGTATTACCACTTAGGAGTAACACTTTGAAGACTGGAACTATTGTTCAGTATTGGAGCATTCAGTATTAGTGCACAAGGCCCAGGGTTCATCCTCAGCACTGCAAAAACAAATGCAGACAAGTCACTCTGACATTTTCTTCTCTTGTTCTTGAAGGAAAAGTAATCTGTTTCACCTCTGGTTTTCTATAGCACTTTCTTTGCCTATTTAATGGCACTTTTCACTTTTTACTTTTGTTAACAAGTACTACTCCTATGAGGCCTGTTCAATCACTGTGAAGAGTTTGGGATTGCATTAACATGGATCTTTGAAGTTGTTGCTTTAACAAATATCCTGAGGGGGTTCAGCATCCCATATTGGATTATGATGCTTAATCGTGTGAAGAAAAGAGTCTGTTCACTTCAGATATGAGAGCAGAAAATATTTTTTCTGTATTAACCTTAGAGTAGGAATCTAAAGAAACTATCATTCATTTATCCCACACAGATCTGTGGAACACAGATATAGCTCAACTCACAAATTGGCAAGCAACTGAATATATAAGCAGCAAAATTATGAATATGGGAAAGTGTTATAAGAGAGGCAATAATAAAGGCTTCTGCAGTCACAGAACACTTGATCTTGAGTAAATAGAATGAGGAACTGCAGGAAAGGTGGAAAGAGTTGGGGAGAAGTTTATTGAGAACTTAACCTACACTAAAAAATGTTGAATAAAACTAGAGAGAGAATCTAGATTTGTTCTTGCCCTTCTGGCAGAATGCCTACATCAAGAATCAACCAGTAGAAGAAAATAAGCTAGTGAATATCTAAAGATGTGTTTTATATGTGCGTGGCACTGTGCCACAAACTTCCATGTATATTATTACTTTGTTTATTTTGCAAATTGTTATAATAAACTTCATTTTTTTTATCATACTAGTATACTGTGATTATTATTTTTCATAACTCTCCTAAAACTTATCATAAATATTTCAGTTAAAGGGAATTACTGAGATAAAGGTAGTCATTATCTGTGAGAAAGGGGAATAGAAAATGATGAAAAGTTATATTTTAGACATTGATTCTCAGTGAAGTCCTTGAACCATCAATACAAACATTATCTAAGAACTTGTTAGAAAAGGACATTCTTTAGCCCTATCCCAGACCTACTGAATCAGAAATCCTGGAGATACGACCAGTGATCTGTGTTTTAAGAAGTTCTCCAGGTGATAATGATAATCTGTGAGGCCAGGGATCATCAGACTCTATTTTCCAGACCTATTCTGATCCCTATCCAATTTTTGTTTTTAAGAGAGAGAGAGAAAGAGAGAGAATTTTAATATTTATTTTTTGGTTTTGGCAGACACAACATCTTTGTTTGTATGTGGTGCTAAGGATCCAACCCAGGCCGCACGCATGCCAGGCGAGCGCGCTACCACTTGATCCACATCCCCAGCCCCCCTAACCTATTTTTGTAAAGAAAATTTTATTGAAACACAGCCATACCAATTCATTTATTATTGTTTGTGGATGCTTTTGTGCTACCATGGCAGAGTTGAGTACAGAACTTATAGCCTCCAGTCAACAATTTATTATCTTGTCCTTTAACAGAAAAAAATATACTAACTATTGCTTTGGATCTTAGGCACTAGATATAGGACTAGGATCTAAATGTGTAAGCAGATATTTGTTAACTGAATTAGAGACCACCGAGAAAAGAAAAGGAAAATAATTAAATTATTTTACAATTCTTAATCTATTATCTTTCCTTTTTAGTCATGGATGCTATCTAAATGGGCCTTTTAGTTCGAATCTACTGACAATCCCAAAACAAAGGTCATCTTCTATATCACTGACTCACCATGTGGGTCTGAAAAGAGCTGGTAAGAAATTATTCTTTTAAAATTTTTCTAAATTTTTTTTTTTTTTTAAGATAGGGTTTTACTATGTGGCATAGGCTGGCCTTGGACTCCTATGTCCAAGAGATCCTCCTGTCTCAGCCTTCCACGTAGTTGGAACTACAGGTGTATGTGATAAATCTGGCTTAGAAATTAGTCTTTATAATTAAATATGGGAGTTCTCAAAATATATGGTAGTATAAATTTTTTTCACTCCATATTATATCTAATCTTGAATACTATTTTATGTAAATTAACACAAGTAAGCAATTTGGGTGGCTAGTAGTTGACCAATTGCTGATTCATTCAATAAGCACATTTTGAACATCTACAATGAACCAGGCACTGAAAGGCACTAGGAAATCAAAGACAAAATACAGAACTATTTTATCAACCTAAGTAATCTCAGCATTTCCAGAGGCTGTGGCAGGAGGATTGTGTTTAAAGTCAGCCTCAGCAACTTAATGAGGGCCTAAGCAACTTAGTGAGACCCTATCTCTAAATAAAATATTAAAAAGTGCTGGGGTTGTAGCTCAGTGGTTAAGAGCTCCTGTTACAAAAAAAAATTGCACACATATATACATATCTATATAAATACACGTGTGTGTGTGTATATATGTATGTGTGTGTGTATATATATATATAATCTCCACACTGAAGCACAGACAGGAAAAAAATACATAAATGACAAAACCAAATGTGAGAGACATATGGGACATAGTCAGAAGTCTCATATATCTGTGAATGAAGTTGCAGAAGAAAAGAAGAGAGATGTTTAGCTCAGAATAATTTTCTAAAACTAATTAACCAACAGATTCATAAAGCTCAGTGAACCGAAGAAGGCTCAATACTGAGAAAATTATAGCTGGGTTTATCAATCAAATTCCTGAATTATAGATATAAAAAGAAAAATTTTTAAAACATACTTGGAAAAGGTTATTTTTCAAGAAACAATATGCAAAGCTAACAATGACCTTTTCAACAGCAATAATGGAAGTCAGACACAAAGAATGACACATTTAAAATGTTGGAGGAATAAAAATTGCCAACCAGATTATTAATCTAATGAAATATCTTGGAAAAAATGAAATAAAAAATTTTTAACTGGTACTCAGAACATACACACACAAAATGATTAACTTGATTAACTATGTGTGATGATGGATATATTAGTTAATTTGATTGTGATAACCATTTCACCGTGTGTAACATATAATTCTCATATAATATAATCCTTAACAAAATTTGGATTAGCTTCTTTATAAAAACTGAAAATCTAATGCTAAAATTCAAATGGAAATGCAAGGTTCCCAGAATATTCAAAACAATTTTTTAATAAAAATGAAAAAAAATTACAGGACTCACACTTCCAAATTTTAAAACTTACTACAAAGATGCAATAATCAAGAGAATATGATGCTGGTACAAGTATATTCAATTTAGTGGATCCTATTGGGGGGAAACTAAAACTACAAAACTCATAGAATAAAACAGGAGAAAATATCTGTGACTTTGGATTTTGAATAAAGTGTTTTTTTTTTTTTTGTAATGACATCAAAAGCACAGTCTGAGTGAAAATATTGCTAAATTGGGGTCATCAAAATTAAAAACATTATAAAAATTGTAAAAGGAGCACTTTTTTGTGTGGTGCTGGGGATAAAAGGAGCAATTTTTTTTTTTAATCTGGTAAATATTATCTACCAGAATTGCATTGCAAACTTAATACTTAAAGATAAAACACTTTCCTTCTGACTTTGGAAACATAATAAAGTTACCCAATATCAATACTTGTATCCAACATTATCCTGGAGTTTCTAGACAATGAATTAAAATAAGACAAAGATATAAAAAACAATAAATATTGGGAGGGAAGATGTGAATCCTTTTCTTTATTTTCAGGTGATTTTTTTTTTTTTTTTTTTTGTGTGTGTGTGTAGAAAATCTAGACAAATCTTAAAAAAAAGTAACATAAGTAATAAGTTTTTCAGAGTTGTTGGACATAGAAAAAATGTTGCATTCTCTACTATGAGAAAATAAAATTTTAAAACACCATTTACCACTACATCAAAAGTCATCAATTACCTAGTGACAAATCTAATGAAAAATGTGCAGTACTGTTGTCATTAATGACTTTAGAGTAAGGCAAAATTTCCTTAGCCAGACTCAAAAAATACCATATAGGATTATATGGATAAATTTGAGTATAAAAATGAATAAACATTCATATAAAAAGAACTGAAAAAACTTTCATAACATCTGAGAAATAACTGGAATTAAGCTATATAAGTAAGTCAGTGATGGGATTTTTTTTATTGCTGCATATCAGATTACCAAAAATGTAGCAGTTTTGTACATTAGGAGTCCTCATGCAGCTGAGTTGAGTTCTCACACAGTTAAGTTAAGCCCTCTCTGCATAATATGTTGTAAGTCTATATTCAATGTGTGGACCCAGTCCAGTTGATCTCAGCTGGAATGATTCAACTTCCAGGCTCAATTAGATAGTGGTCATAATTCATTTCCTTTGGTTATGGGTTCTCAACAGGTTTGCCTTCTTGATTGCTATTTGCTGGAGGCTATCTTCAGCTCCTAGAGTCTGCCCACAGTTCCTTATCACAGGGTCACTGTGGCTCCTTCATGGAGCCAGCAAGAGTGTCAAGCAAGCAAGATGAGTCACTTTAGAGACTGATCTCTAAATTGAGTCTGCTAGCAAGATGAATCCATAACCTACCATGATCATGACAGTGATATCCCATCATCCTTCAGTTTACACAAGAGGAAGTCATAGGTCTTTCCTGTACTCAAAATCAGGGGGCAGGAATCAATAGGTCTACCTTAGAGTCTGTCAAAACAACCCATTAGAAAAATGAGCAGAAGAATTGAACAAGCACTTTAGAAAAGAAACTGTACAATGATGTGTATACCTGAAAAGTGCTTCACTTTATTAGTGATAAGAAAATTAAAAAGTGATAGCACAGTCCCCTTCTACTTACCATCAGTTTAGCAAAGGATAAAGATATATACATATGTGTATATAATATCTATATAGATGACAATATAGATATATATGTAGAGAGATAAACAAAGAGTGAATATTTATTTTAAAGATTGGCTTTCAATTTTTGAAGGCTGGTAATTCTGGAATTCTCAGGACAGACTAGAAGACTGGAAATTTTAACAGGTGCTAATGTTGTACTCTTGTTAGACTGTCAGGAGGCAAAATTCTTCCTCTTTGGGAGATCTTAGGCCTTCATCCAGTTGGATGAGGCCTACTCACATTATGGAAGTTAATCTGCTTTTCTGGAGTCTACTGATTTAAATGTTAATCACATTGAAAAAATATCTTCAAAGCAACATGTAAAGTGGTGTTTATTCAAATAACCAGGCACTGTAACCTAGCCAAGTTCATATCATCACACACATCTGTGAAATGTTTACCTGTATGCCAAAAAATACTGTAGATTGTTATTTGCTTTCTTCTCTGAATCACACATTATTTGGATCTTTATTTTCAACTGAAGTTTTAAATCTGCCTATCTTTATTCCAAGTACATTACTTTAGTTCAAGTCCCTTTCCTGTGGAAAAGTCCACAGTAATAAATACATACTATTTTCTCCCTTTATTTTGGCATTTAGCACTTATTTATATTCTATTCTCTACTATGTAGGTTCATTGAGTTGCAGGGTTGATTTCATTTTTTTTCTATTGAGAAACCCAGCACATTTTAATATGTTAGGCTCTCAAATATTTGTTCTATTTTTATTTTTGATGCTGGGAATTGAACCCAGGGGTTATTTCCCTGTGATCTACATCCCTAGACCTTTTTTTATCTTTGGTTTTGAGAAAGAGTCTCTCTAAATTGCTGAGGCTGGCCTCGAATTTGCAATCATATTGCCTCAGCCTCCCAAGTTGTTGGGATTACAGGCATGTGCCACCACATCTGGACAATATTTGTTGAATGAGTGAATGACTTGCAAATATTTATATAATTTAAAGGGATCTGCCTGGGGGGTTACAGAATTTTTTTTTATTTTTACATTTTAAAATTATATTGTATTACTATATAATTTTATTATATCCTTAGTTTGTTTAAATGCTAAGAACTTTAGTTGTTTAATTAAGTTGGATATTATTGAATTGAAAAATAGCATTAAAATTTAGTACAGAGTCTTTTTTTCATATGGAGAATCAACCTGATATCTTTTATAAATTATGAAAGATAAAAGACCATTATGAATTAGGAAAATTTGTGCCACGTGATATTTGTTTTAGTCATGCTCGCAATATTTAGCTACTGTGTACTATTCTCCCAGAGACTGTTTACTCAATAGTCACTAATAATGACTAATATGGCAACTATTGCTTAAATTTGTAGAATGTCTTTGAGCCCCACATAGAAATTTATTTTACCATTAAACTGCAAATGCTTTCCTTTCTTTAAAAAGGGAAAATGTCTTCATAAAAACACAAATATGTACAGTGAATCCATACACATATATTTATGCTCATTTATCTCCTCTCTTTTAATTTTTTAAGGTGCTTTACCCAGCTTGAATTCTCCTAGCCATGGACAGATGTCTGCTGGTTGTGTAACTAATCGATCACCCATAGAATTTCCTGATACTGCTGATTTTCTTACTAAACCAAATGTTATTTTACATAGATCTCTGGGCAATGTACCCAATGTACCAGATTTTTATCAGCATCTTCGAAATTCTGATAGCAATCTGTGTAACAAGTAAGTTTCCTAATTGTTTATTATTTCTGTTCCAAAATGTAAGTTATTTTAGTAAAGTATTATCAGTTTTTTAAAATTCTGTATCATAACTGGGTATTGGTTAAGACCCTGTCCTATATTTATCTGGTAGTTTTTATTCTAAATGAACTTTTTTTCTCACTCAGTGCTGTTATAAATTTTCTAATTAAATGATGTGAATTATGATATTCAACCCATCATATCATATTAGTAAATAGAAAATTTTTCTTATATATGCTACTTTGGTACTTGTTCATGATATCCAATTCATATGGTGTTAACTCTTATTTCTACTTTGATAAGAATATGGGTTTACCTCTGATTCCAATGTTGACTTTCCAAAATGTTATTTCCTTCAAGGGCACACAGATGTATTTCTAGGTTAAAATCTTATAAGTTAATATAGAGAGAAGAATATGAGAATATATTGCAGTTGAGATCTTGGTTAAAAATTAAGCAGGTTTTCTAATTACACTTACGTAAAAAAACCTTTCCACCTTATTTATCATGTGTATATTTATCTATTTTATTCTATAAGCTGTGGACATCAAATACTAAAATATGTTTCAACATGTGAATCGGATGGTACAGACAGCCACAGTGGAAAATCAGGTGAGATTACATAAGTAATACATATTTGAATTTAAGAGAAATTTCTTACAATATTTTTTCAAATGGATGACTGAATGAGTTTAACTTCTACTTATCAACCTTTAAGGTTATTTTGTTGTTGCTGTTCAGTATTAGCGATTAAACCTAGAGCCTCACACATGCTACCACTAAGTTGTATCCCAAGCCCCTATTTTATTCATCTTTAAAATGAAGATTATAATGTTTTTTGCCTATTTCCCAGAAGAGTTATTAAGACAAATTATAAATAATTGATGTGAGAGTGTTACTGGGTGCCATCAGTACCACCTGAAGGAAGAGTTAGCTGTAACACTCATTGCTCCAGATATATATGGAATCAAATTAGTAGGAAAATAAGTTTTTATTCAAAGGCATCTGTGACGGAAGATAGAATAAATTTACAGTTTCAAAAATTCCATCTTCAAAATCTCTGAAGGTGAGCTAAGTTTATAGAAGAGAAGAGGCAGAAGACAATAAGCAGATTTAGTTAGCTTGTGCCCCACAGGTCTGTGGAAGGGGCAGTCTCTACTTTTAGCTTCCATGGCACCTGTCAGGTTGGGGGTTACAGAATGTTTTTTTTTTTTAATTATTATTTTTACATTTTAAATATTGTTAAAATAAAACAGTCCTTCACAAATTCTTCTAACTCAACTCCTGCCCCCTGCCCGCCCCCCCTACCCCCAAAATACAAAACATAAAGCAAAAACAGAAGGGAATACTTCTCAATTCATTCTGAGACTGGTATTACCCTCACACCACAATCAAAGTCAAAAATAGAAAACTACAGATCAATATCTCTTATGCACATAGACACAAAATCTTTTTTTCCCCTTTGACATAAGAGAAAATTAACTTTATTTATTCAGTTTGATCAAACTGGGGAGAAGCAGATAGATTGCCTTACTTACCAATCCCATAGAAGCAGTTACAATTTATAGAAAAAAAAGCCAGGTAATATATATATGTTGGTTTAGCTGGCCTGAAGAGAGGGCAAAGTGGGACAAAAGGTAGGAAATATATATATGCAGATTTAGTTAGCATGTGCTAGACATAACAGGGCAGGGGGCAATCTTCATTCTTAGCTTCTTTGGAGTCTTCCAGGTGAGGGTGAGCAGCCCTTTAGGCTTTGCTTTCAGGAAGTTATTCGCCATTTTAGAGAAGCCCTAACTGAAATTTTAAATGTCACCAGTTTAGTTTATCTCCTCAGTCCTGAGTAAATTGGGGCTCCATGTCATCTGGCTAGCCATCCATTGCTGGATTGGAAGATACAAAAATTCTTAACAAAATACTAGCAAATTGAATTCAGCCATACAAAAGGTCACATTATGACTAAGTGCTATCCCAGGAATGTAAGGATGGCTGCTCATTTCGAAATCAATCATTATAATACACCACAGTAATAGCATAAATGGAAAAACCTGTAGGAATAATCTCAATAGGCGTAGAAAAAACATTAAACAAAATCCAATACTTTTTTTTTGAAATAAAACGAACTGTTAATAGCCAGGAAGTTCCTAATCCTGATGAAGGGTATATTCACAACTAACATTATCTTTAATGGACTATAATTTTCCCTCTAAGATTAATAACAAGATGAGAATTTTTAGTCTCAGCACTTCTACTCAACATTGTACTTATGGTTGAGCCAAGAAAATGAGTAAGAAAAATAAAGCCATCCAGAATTTAAAAGAAGAAAATAAAAGTATCCCTATTCACAGATTATATGGTCTTTTGTGTAGAAAATACACTACAAGCTACTAGAACCTATAAACAAGTTGAACAAAGTTATAAGACATGATTGATATACAAACATCAATTATATTGGGCTGGGGTTGTGGCTTAGTGGTAGAGTGCTCGCCTCGCACGTTTGAGACCCTGGATTCGATCCTCAGCCCCACATAAAAATAAATAAGTGAAATAAAAGTATTGTGTCCAACTATAACTAAAAAATAAAATGAATCAATTGTATTACCATAATCTAGAAATAAATCATTATGAATTGAAACTAAGAAAACATTTTTATTCATAATAGTATAAAAAAGAATAAAGTAGAATAAATTTAACAGAAATATTTATACACTGAAAATTATACCACTGCTGAGAAAAATTAAAGACTATCTAGAAAAGTTGAAAGCTATTTTATAGTAATGGACTGAAAGAATAAGTATTATTAACATGACAGCATAACAGTTCTCCTAAATAGATCAGTAGTTGAGTGCAGTTTTTATCAAATTTCACCTGAAAGCAAATGAAAGAGAATACAAAAAGAAAAAGAAAGGGAGACAGACCTCAATGGATTAGTGATGCTTTATTAAGCAGCTGAGGGGCACAATTTCAAGAGGGAAAATGGCAACAGGCTTCAACAGGGTCTGAGTTTTTTATAGGGGTTAGCAGGGGCCAAGTTGGTCATTTACTTTTGGCAGGCTTATTTTTCAGTGGGCAGGAGGATTTTGGCAGAGAAGGGAGATTATTATGACAGGTCAGATTCCTGAGCTCCCTTTTTCACTGAGGGTTTTGTAGTTCTCCATTTCTTTCGTTAGCAGGGTTTTTTTTTTGGGTGGGGGCACAGAAATTGAAAAGTTGGTGTAAACATTTATATAGAAATACAAATGACCTCAGTATCAGTAGTTAATTCAGAAGTTCTACAATAGTAAGAACAAATTTGAAAAAAAAAAAAAAGTTGGAGGACTTGTATTATTTGATTTGAAAACTTGTTGTAAAGCCACTAATTAAGACAATAGTTTTGGGGGGTTGAGGGTTGTGGTTCAGTGGTGGAGTGCTTGCCTGGCACATGTGAGGCACTGGGTTTATTCCTCAGCAGCACATAAAATAAATTTTTTAAAAAAAGGTTTTGATTAACATTTGTAAATGTACATATCCATGGGGTTCACTATTATATTTCAAAACATGCTTGTAGCATTAAAAAAAAAAAAAGGTATTGTGTCCATCTACAACTAAAAACATTTTTTTAAAAAGGCAGTATTGGCAGAAGGATGAGCCTATAGTTTAGTGGAATAGAATGTCCAAAAGAAAATTCTTGCATCTATGGTGAATTGGTTTTTGACAGAGAACCCCAAGATTCAAAATGGAATTCAAAAGGGAAAAAATAAATGATAAGTGTTTTCAACAAATGGTACCAGGACAGTGGGATATCCACTTGCCAAAAAACAAACAAAAAAACATGGACCCTCATCTCACTGCATGCACAAAAAGTAACTCAAAATAAACCATAAGGATTAAAACCACATAACTTCTAATCACAGTAGCCATGAGGTTTGTTGAGATTCCAGGGGTTTGGTAAATAAATATTCTCTCTTGATAGGAGAGTGATAAGAATGCATTTTAGAAAAGTGTATAGAATAAGAAAAATGATATGGATATCTTTGGAAAATAAATTTCTACATTTATCTCATTTTTTTTACTAGTATTTGTGAGGTCTGGTTGTTAGGAGTTATGATATTAAAAATAACATGTAATATACCTTAAATGCTAACAATTTTTACATGAATTGCTATTTTAGAATATCATAGTTACTGCCTTAACTTACCAAGAATACTTGAATATAATAGTCCCCCATCTATACCTGACATGTAAGATCATACTGAATTCTAAATGCACTTCCCCCCTGCAATACATGCATTCCTATGATAAGCTTTAACTTATAAATTAGGCAGAGTAAGGGATTAACAATAATTAATGAAAAATAAAACAATTATTACAATTTACTGTAATTAAATTGGCAGCATCACCACTCTTCTGCTTTGGGATTTTTAAGTAAAATAGGAGTTACATGAACATAAGTATTATAATGCCATTAGGATCAATCTGATAACTGAGATGGATACTAAGTGTCAAACAGGCAAGTAGCATATATACATTGCACAAAGTGATGATTCATGTGTTGGGCATGATGGTGCCAGATATCAACACTTTTCAGATGGGAATACAATTTTAAATTATTTATTATAGAATTTTTCATTTAATATTTTTGGACCACAGATGATAACAACTGGTAATTGAAACTGTAGATAAGGGAGGTGTTTTAGTTTTTTTTTTTTTTTTTTTTTTGTTGATAAAAAAAAAAATTTTAGAGGAGGAAAAATTTATTTGGTGCTCATGAGTTCAAAGATCTCATTCCATAGACAGCTGGCTCTATTGCTCTGGGCCTAAGGTAAGGCAACATTATGGTGAAAGAGTGTGGTGGAAGAAAGCAGCTCCGGAAATGGCCACCAGGAAGCAGAGAGAGACTCCACTCACCAGGGACAAAATACAAACCCAAAGGCATGCCCACAGTGACCTACCTTCTGCCATCATACCTTACCTGTCTATAGTTACCACTCAGTTAATCCCTCTCAGTGTATTTACTGTACTGATTGGGTTAAGGTTCTCATAACTCAATCATTTTTCCTCTAAACTTTCTTGCTCTCACACATGGGATTTTGGGGGACACCTCACATTTAAACCGTAAGAGGGGGACTACTGTATTCTAGAATTCATTTCTTAAAAGATTTTGAGAGAAAGGGTAGGTACTGGGAAATAAAATTGGCCAATTTATGTCATGTGTATATATGAATATGTAACAATGAATCCCACTAATGTGTATAATTCTTAATGTACCAATAAAATTTTTTTAAATAAATGTTTTTCACTTGGAAAAAAATCATATTTTCCAAACAATAACACTTTCTGGTCATCAGTTACTGATTTTTTTTATATATTTAGTAAGTTAGGTTCAGATTTGATTAACATTTATTGATCACCTTTTATGTGAGACATCTAATAAGATAGGCGTTATTACATTATACAGAGAAAAAACATTATTAAGCACAAAAATCAGTATTTGAGTCTAGTTCTGAAATTCAACTTCAATGAATGGTCTTGTGAACTTTTTTTGACTTAAAAGAATAAAGACGAATAAAAATCTTAAGCCCTACATATTGAAAAATACACTAATTATGAGTTTATAGCTTGATGAATTTTTTTATATACTCTGCAGTTAGTACTCTGATCAAGAAACTAAATATTACCATTGCCTTAAAATTCTCTTTATGCCTCCTTCCAGCCATGTCTCCTAAGGTAATGATTTTCCTGACTTTTGATATTCACATGTGTCAGTTTTAATGTGTTTTTGAACTCTTCATAAAAATAATCACAAAATATATACCTATTTCCTATTTTCCTTCACTGAACATTTTATTTTTAAGAACCAACAATATTGATAGAGTTGTAGTTCATTCCTATGTTGTAGTGTTCAAATTGTATGAATATTCCACAATTTATTTACATATTGGTGGCTTTGGGGAAAGTTTCCTGTTTAGGGTATTATAAATAGAATGAATAGGATCATATTTTAACATGTGAATGAATATCACTGTGGCTTCCCTTTACCATATGACTTAGAAGAAGAATGTTATTAATTACATAGGCAAAGGAATAACTCATAATTCATGATATTGTAGTTATGAACTTTAGAGTTTTTATATCTAGAACTCAGAGATGTTGAGAATGCTTTACATGAAACTGGTAAAAAAAAGTTCCTATAGAGACTGTTTCTCACTTTTATAAAGAATATCTACCTTTCTCTGCCTTCATCCTTGAGTAGATATATAAGGTGTATCCAATGTTACCAATCATTGTGGGGTTCAGTTTGGTATAAACTCATGAAAAGGCAAAGTACAGCTCTTTTTAATGTTACCAGTTCACTATGGTGTTACCTGCTCCCAGCTCTTAGTGTTAGAACTGAAGAGGCAAGCGATAATATCTCAATGAGGCTTTATTGGGGCTTATGCTCAAGCAGAAGGGACAGTGCATGAGTTAGAGTGCTTGCTGAGGACACTAGGAGCAAAACTTTAATATAGACAAAAAGGGCAGTCTCATGCAGGTGTCCAGTCAGCTGCTGCACATTATCTCAGCAGTTTTGCACATGTCTGGTCAGATCTTTGCTCTTTGCATCCGGGTTTGCACTTTATACTGTGATCTGCATGTGTAGGTTGGGTTCCTCTGGGCTTGGTTCACAAAATGATAGAGTTGCTCACTATACTGCCAACCTAGGAAGATCAAATATTGATCAAGTTCAATCCCAATGGCACAGGTTGGTGTTGCAGGTCAGTTAGTAGCTCCCTAACCTGGTCATTAGTAGAAACACTTTGGAAGCCTCCAGCAAGATAACTTAATAATGTGATTAAATAATTTAGACTAACTTACATTATAGTTTACTTTATTTGAATACTTTTAACCAATAACTGTTTCTCTTATATAGCTGTACATTTAGGGAATTTTTTTTTGGTACCAGAGATTGAACCCAGGGGTGCTTAAACACCAAGCAACATCCCCAGCCCTTTTCTATATTTTATTAGAGACAGGGCCTAATAAGGCCTTACTAAGGCTTAAGGCCTCACTAAGTTGCTAAGGTGGGTTTGAACTCATGATCCTCCTGCCTCAGCCTCCCAAGTTGTTGGGATTATAGGCGTGCACCACCATGCCCAGCTAGGGAAAATTTTATTTCTATTTATTACTCTATGTTTTTTTTTTTTTTTTTTGAAAGGCGAAGAAGATATCATTTTATCAAAAGAAACATTCAGCCTTTTGGAAACTCAACAAGAAGAGGAATCAGAGAAGAGAGATTGCAGAAAATCATTTTTGGACAGTGATAACCTCCAAACAGAAGAGGCACAGCAACCAAATGTAAAAGATAAACTTTCAATATGATTATGTTAAGGTGAAATATAATAGTAGTTAGTACTGGCTTCATTATTTTTACCAAGAACAAGATTTTTAATGTAATAGTGTTTTAAAATTTCTTACTGAGAAGTAACTATAACTGAAATAATGTTTGGATTATAAATAACACTTAGTTCTAAACCATCATGGAGCAGCAAACTGCGTTTATATTTAAATGAACATATTTTACTTAGTTTTTAATGTAGATACATTATTTTTATTCTGATATTTCTTCACTGTATATTTTAGAGTACACAATATGCATAGTCATTAAAAATGATGAAAATAAAGTATTTTATAATAATGTAATTTTTTTGTTCATAAAGTTCAAAATTTAAGTTTTAATAAAATAATCCCATTCATTTATTTGGGAAACTTATTCTAGTAATAAATGCCAGTACAATGAGATGAGTTTTTTTCTTCCCCTTTGATATTTGCAACTTCTAAAATGAAAATAGTGAACTTTATATTTGTTTAGTGATTCAGAAGTATGACATTTTTATTTATAAATGTAATGTATAAATGAATCAGTCTTCTGATGTCCAAAGAAATGTTTATGGTTGCATTCCATAAGAACATAAAATTTCAGATAAAAATACATTTGAGATAACCATTATAACAGATATTACTGTTTTTATATGTTCAGTTATAGGTGTTCTTATTAAATGTGGATTTAGCAATATTTATAAGAGGTAAAGTTTTTATTGATTTTTTTACCCATATATGCACAGATCAAAGAGGAAACATCAGTGGACCTGATTTTAGTAGAAGACTACGATTCATTAATAGAAAAGATGAGCAACTGGAATTTTCAAATTTTTGAGCTTGTGGAAAAGATGGGGGAGAAATCAGGAAGAATTCTCAGTCAGGTTTGTTTTTCAAATCTCAACATTTTTAGTTTTTTCTCAAATGTTTATAAAAGAAAAATCTAAATAATCTTAGTATTGGTTGAGGTACTAATTCAACAGTGACTTTGTTCATTAAATTATTTTTTCATAAAACCCAAATATATATTTTGTAGTTATATGTTATATATATTATAAATTCCATCTACATATACATGAATAATAGCTTATTTTACTACATTGATGAGATTTAATTTAGGCTGAAGAAGTAATAAAGATTTACTTTTTCTTGACTCTTGAGGTTGAAAAGAACATGAAAAGTGACAATGTAGTTCTAACTAATGAACATAAGCTTCATTTTTTTTTTTTCGACCTGCCTTCCCTGTATTTTACCCAAGGCCAGATGTTTCATTTCATGTTAGAACCTTGGAAAAATACTTGCATTTTACTACCCAGACTTAAGTTTCTACCTCATGGGTTCACATGACAGCATCAGATTTACCTTCCCACAGTATAATTCTTATGAATTCCTTTAATATCTTTCTTATGAAATACAAAAACATGAGGACAAATTATGTTGAGGACATGTAAGTTCATTTCACTGAATTCTTTAGGGACAAAAATGCAATTAATATGAATTATTTTTACTTTTTTCTTAACTTGGGACTAGCAAGAATTCACAATATTTTTCATTAAATTAGGAACATAAAGAACAAAGAGAAGAATGGAAAATTTAAAAATTGGGTTATGATATGTATAGTAAACTTTCTTTGGTTTTCATGAGCTGCAGGGTGATGTCTTCCTTTCTTATTTTTTTGGAAGTTTTTAATAAATTAAAGACAGTCACATTATTTATTTTCCTAAATGCAAATTACAAAAGCATACTGATCTACAAATAGAAATTCTGGTATTTAAAGTGAACTTTATTTTAATTGACATTTAGGTTATGTATTCCTTATTTCAAGACACTGGCTTATTGGAAATATTTAAAATTCCTACTCAACAATTCATGAACTATTTTCGTGCATTAGAAAATGGCTATCGAGACATTCCTTGTAAGTATTTTCATGTAAGTTTAAATAATACTGTTTTGAAACTTTATTATCTTTATATTCAGATGAACCTGTAAATATATTTTTGGAAAAATTTTAAATGGATATTTAAAAAGAAAATCTAATCCTACCTAGATTTAACTGACAACTATTAAGATTTTGGTATAGGAGCTGGGGTTATGGCTCAGCTGTAGAGCGTTTGCCTCACGCGTGCGATGCCCTGGGTTCAATCCTGAACGCCACATAAAAATAAATAATTAAATAAATAAAGTTTAAAAAAATTAGTATATATTTTCTAAGTTATTTTATTATATAAATTTAGCTTTTATAAACTGAATCATAATATTGATGTCTATTTAAAATCTGCTTTTCACTTGTGATATGTGTCTTTCTGTGTTGATAATTATTTGTATGAGTACCTTATTTTTTTAAATGTTTGTTAATATTAAGAATTTTAGAAAATTCCTTCATTTTACAGTGTTCAAAGTTTATCCATAGAATTTATATTTTTAACTGTGTTTTGATCTATGGAATAATTTTTAATTTTTATTTGATTTTTATGTTTAAATATAATTTGAATTTCATATTAAGAAAAGGTGTTGAAACATTTTACAGTTTCTCTCCATAAGGATTCATTAATTAGGAAATTAGTTATCTACAGAGTGAATTTTTATTAAATTGTCATAACTCAGTGATATTTAATAATTTAAGGTGGATTATATATACTATGTAAAGTATGCATTAAAAATAAAGTCAAAGTTTACAATGAATATAGGAATGCTCGAAGGTACTTAAGGAAAGCTGAATGGGAAGAAGGACATGCTAAAAAGTTTTCACTCTCAGCTCTGATTAGGATACACTGATTGAGAAAACTCTCTCAACCTAATTTTTCTAAACCTCAGTTTACAAATTTATAATTGGAATAATAGCTGTGCCTACCCCATAGAGAGTGATAAAATAAAATAAGCAACAAAAAGGACATAGTAGAATTCAAGGCACATTGGAAATGTCATTAAAAGATGGAAATTATATTATTAATAAGGCTCCTAGGGAATTAATACCATGTCCTGCCTATAGCCTGGACACTTACTATTCTATCATCTGCTAATTTATATTGTAGATATTCATAAAATATTCATTGGATATCTGCTGTGACTATGGAATCATTAGATTCATGTAGATTATCTTATTTAATCTTTATTGGGAATGTTGTATTATAGATGAGAAGTAAAAAGTCAGAAGGATCTTAAAACTAGAGAGAGGTGCTGGATTTCAGTTCTAAAGTCCATCCGAATTCTAAACCCTATGCCCTATGTCACATTTCCTTTTCACATAGAGGAGTTGAGGAGTTTTATTATTATATAGTAGGTGTCAGACACTGTTCTGGATGCTTTCCCATGCTATTTATCATTTTATCCTTATAACAAACCTGAGAAAGAGGTAATTCTTACTTTTGTTTTTTAAGAGCTTAAGTATCCAGAATTTGTAACTGTTCTGTGTACAGAAATCATTTTGAATATTGTGTCTCCATGATGTAGAAGCAACATGGTATTTTTAAAAGCCACACAACAGAAACTTTAAGAAAATTTTCTAGTATCTTTCAGTTATTGTTTACCCTGCCTTTCCTTTGATCCCTTTACCATGTTTTCATAGTATATGTGAAATTTTTAAAAAAGGGAACTTTTTAAGACATCAAAAAAACTTTAAAAATAGATAAAATACAATTATGGGAAATTATAAGAATGTAAATGATTATAAAATTCTAATCCTTTTAAGTGACTTATGAGGCCTAACAGAATGATCATTTTTATAAAATATTTTTGTGGCTTTAGATCACAATCGTATACATGCCACGGATGTCCTACATGCAGTTTGGTATCTGACAACTCGGCCAATTCCTGGCTTACAGCAGATCCATAATGATCATGAAACAAGAAATGAAAAAGGTACTTTCTCCTGCAACTTTTTTTTTAAAAGAATTATTTAATTAGTAATAATAAATCAAACTGTCTCAATTCATAACCTCTGGTCTTTTAAATTTTTCATTAAGTAACCTTTGGTACATATGAAAGATTGTGTGACTTCTGGAGTATAATACTTAAACCTGCTACTCATCTGCAAAGCCTGACAAAGTTTCATTACTTCCTGATATAACAATTTATTCTTTGTTCCATCCTATTGCTTTTCCCATTCAATTAGCAAGTATCTTGAATATTAGGGTAATTATTCCTTTGTTTTTATTTTTTAATTCCTGGTTTTGTTTTTGTTTCAGATATATGTGTATGCTTACAATATATAATATCACTGAATCAAAAGGAATATGTTTGAATCTCATGTAAACACTTAAGTGCTGAATTTAAAAACCTTTGTAAACATTCAGATTTGCTTCTAAAAAGTGAATGCTATTCTTCATCATAAATATAATTATTTAAATAAATAATATGTAACATCACGATTCTCTTATTTTTGGCTTGCTAATGGCAAAATTATTATTATTAGGACAGAATTATTATGTATTATTAGGACTGAATTTGTTCAGATGACAATATTTGAGAAATAATACCACAATACTAACGGTATAACGTCATAAACTCAAGTCATTAAATTTGGGTAGTTGAGTCTAATGGATTTCTTTCATGTCACTGGTTCATTTTTGTCTGCCATCTGTAATCTCTTTGATGCCCTTCATTCCTCCTATCAATCCTGTGTTTCCATTGGAGATAATTTTTTTTAACTTTTTAGTTTGTTGATGCACTAATTTCATTATAGAAGAATATTTTCATATTTCAACATGTTTAGGTTGCCATTCCATCATCTTTTGATTTTAGTAGTTTCTGTTAATAATTATTTATTAATAATTATTAATAATAATTAATAATAGCCTTAATTCTTGCTGAGAAATGTAATATGTAAATGTAGCATGTTCATTTTCTCTTAGCTATTGAATTTTAGTGTTTTTACTATGGTATACATAGGTGATTTTCTTTGCATTAATCATGCTTGGTGTTCAGTGTACTTTAGAATATGTTGATTGATTTTTTTTTTTTATTGATTTCTATCAAAAGTTGAAAATTTTTCCAGTCACTGCCTATTGCCTAATTACAAATCTACTTATACATTATTTTTATTTTTTCATTTTTAAATTTTAATTTGTTATATACAACAGCAGAATGCATTACAATTCATATTACACATATAGAGCAAATTTTTCATATATCTGTTGTATACAAAGTAGTCACACCATTCGTGTCTTCATACATGTACTTAGGGTAATGATGTCCATCTCATTCCACCATCTTTCCTGCCCCCATGTCACCTCCTTCCCCTCCCTCTCCTTTTCCCCTTTGCCCAATCTAATGTTCATCTAATTCTCCCATGCCTACCCCAACCCCACTCATCCTTAAATCAGAGAATCAGCGTCCTTAAATCAGAGAAAACATTCAGCATTTGTTTTTTGGGGATTGGCTGACTACATTTAGCATTATATTCTCCAACTCCATTCATTTACCTGCAAATGCCATGATTTTATTCTGTTTTAGTGCTGAATAATATTCCGGAGTGTGTGTGTGTGTGTGTGTGTGTGTGTGTGTGTGTGTATAATAATCTCCATTCATCTACTGAAGGACATCTAGGTTGATTCCACAGTTTAGCTATTGTGCTACTATAAACATTGATGTGGCTCTGTCCCTGTAGTATGCTGTTTTTAAGTCTTTTGGGTATAGACCAAGGAGAGGGATAGCTGGGTCAAATGGTGGTTCCATTCCCAGTTTTTCAAGAAATCTCCATGCTGCTTTCCATATTGGCTGCACCAATTTGCAGTCCCACCAGCAATGTATGAGTGTGCTTTTTCCCCTACATCCTTGCCTACACTTATTGTTGTCTGTATTCTTAATAGCTGCCATTCGGACTGGAGTGAGATGAAATCTTAGTTTTGATTTGCATTTCTCTGATTGCTACAGATGTTGAACATTTTTTCATATATTTGTTGATTGACGGTATATCTTCTTCTGAGAACTGTTCAGTTCCTTGGTCCATTTATTGACTGGGTAATTTGTTTGTTGTTGTTGTTGCTGATTTTTAGTTCTTTATATATCCTAGAGATTATTGCTCTAACATGTGTGTGGTAAAAATTTGTTCCCAAAATGTAGGCTCTCTATTCACCTCACTGATTGTTTCTTTTGCTGAGAAGAAGCTTTTTAGTTTGAATCCATCCCATTTATTGATTCTTGATATTAATTTTTTATGCTATAGGAGTCTTATTAAGGAAGTTGGGGCTTAATCTGACATGATGGAGATTTGGGCCTACATTTTCTTCTAATAGACACAGTGTCTCTGGTTTAATTCCTAGGTTCTTGATCCACTTTGAGTTTCGTGCATAGTGAGAGTTAATTTCATTTTGTTGCATTTAGATTTCCAGTTTCCCCAGCACCGTTTGTTGAAGAAGCTATCTTTTCTCCAATATACGTTTTGACACCTTTGTCTAGTATAAGATAACTGTAATTATGTGGGTTAGACTTTGAGTCCTCTATTTTGTACCATTGCTCTACAAGGTCTATTTTGGTGCCAATACCATGCTGTTTTTGTAGTATAGTTTAAGGTCTGGTATAGTGATGCCACCTGTTTCACTCTGCCTGCTAAAGATTGCTTTAACTATTCTGGGTCTCTTATTTTTCCAGATGAATTTCATGACTGCTTTTTCTATTTCTATAAGGAATGTCATTTTCCTCATTTCCCTTTCAGAGGATTTGTCACTGATATACAGAAATGCCTTTGATTTTATGCGTGTTGCTTTTTATCCTGCTACTTTGCTGAATTCATTTACTAGTTCTAGAAGTTTTCTGGTGGAGCTTTTTGGGTCTTCTAGGAATAAAATCCTTTCATAAGCAAATAGTGCCAATTTGAGTTCTTCTTTTCCTATCTGTATCCCTTTAATTTCTTTCATCTGTCTAATTGCTCTGGCCAGTGTTTCAAGAACTATGTTAAATAGAAGTGGTGAAGGAGGGCATCCCTGTCTTGTTCTAGTTTTTAGAGGGTTTTAGTTTTTAGAGGGAGTGCTTTCAATTTTCCTCCATTTAGAATGATGTTGGCCAGGGGTTTGGCATCGATAGCTTTTACGATATCGAGATATGTTCCTGTTATCCCTAATTTTTCTAGTGTTTTGAATATGAAGGGGAGCTGTATTTTGTCGATTGCTTTTTCTACATCTATTGAGATGATCATATGGTTCTTATCTTTAAGTCTATTGATGTGATGAATTACATTTATTGATTTCCATATGTTGAACCAGCCTTGCATCCCTGGGATAAACCCCACTTCATAGTGGTGTACTATCATTTTGATATATTTTTGTTTTTAATTTTCCAGAATTTTATTGAGAAATTTTGCTTCTATGTTTGATAGATTATTGGCCTGAAGTTTTCTTTCTTTGTGTTGAACCAACTTTGCATCCCTGGGATGAATCCCACTTGATTGTGGTGCACTATCTTTTTGATATGTTTTTGTAATTAGATTTGCCAGAATTTTATTGAGAATTTTCGCATCTATATTCATTAGAGATGTTGGTCTAAATTTTTCTTTTTTGATGTGTCTTTGCCTGGTTTTGGAATCAGGGTGATATTGACATCATAGAACGAGTTTGGAAAGGATCCCTCTTTTTCTATTTCCTGAAATAAATTGAAGAGTATTGGTATTAGTTGTTCTTTAAAGGTCTTGTAGAACTCAGCTATGTATTCATCTGGTCCTGGGCTTTTCTTGGTTGGTAGGCTTCTGATGGCATCTTCTATTTATCACTTGAAATTGATCTGTTTAAATTGTGTATACCATCCTGATTCAACTTGGGCTAATCATATGACTCTAGAATTTTGTCAGTGTCTTCAATATTTTCTATTTTATTGGAGTACTAGTTTTAAGAATAATTTCTAATTATCTTCTGTATTTCTGTATTGTCTGTTGTGATATTTCCTTTTTCCTCATGTATGTTAGTGATTTGAGTTTTCTCTCTCCTTCTCTTTGTTAGCATGGCTAAAGGTCTGTCAATTTTATTTATTTTTTCAAAGAACCAATTTTTGCTCTGTCAATTTTTTCAATTGTTTCTTTTGTTTCAATTTCATTGATTTCAGCTCTGATTTTAATTATTTCCTGTCTTCTCCTGCTTTAGGTGTTGATTTGTTCTTCTTTTTCTAGGGCTCTGAGATGTAATGTTTAAGTCATTTATTTGTTGACTTTTTTTTTTCTTTTAAGGAATGAACTCCATGTAATGAACTTTCCTCTTAGTACTGCCTCCATAGTGTCCCAGAGATTTTGATACGTTGTCTCTGTGTTCTCATTTACCTCTAAGAATTTTTTAATCTCCTCCTTGATGTCTTGCAACCCATTGTTCACTCAGTAGCATATTATTTAGTCTCCATGTGTTGGATTAGCTTTTATTTTTTATATTATCATTGATTTCTAATTTCATTTCATTATGATCTGATAAAATGCAGGGTAGTATCTCTACCTTTTTATATTTGCTAAGAGTTGCTTTGTGGCATAATATATAGTCTATTTTAGAGAAGGATCCATGTGCTGCTGAAAAGAAAGTGTATTCGCTTGTTGAAGAATGGAATATTCTATATATGTCAGTTAAGTCTAAATCATTGATTGTATTATTGAGTTTTATATTATTTTGTTCAGCTTTTATTTGGAAGGTTTATCCAGTGGTGAAAGAGTTGTGTTTTAGTCACCCAGAATAATTGTGTTGTGGTTTATTTGTCTCTTGAACTTGAGAAGAATTTGTTTGATGAATGTAGACACTCCATTGTTTGGGGCATATAAATTTATTATTGTTATGTCTTGTTGGTGTATGGTTCCCTTTAGCAGTATGAAATATCTGTCTTTATCCCTTTTGATTAACTTTGGCTTAAAGTCTACTTTGTTTGATATGAGGATGGAAAACCCTGCTTGCTTC